GGTCAAAAGGTATATCCATTTTTAATTTTTTGAGAAACCTCCATACTGTTTTCCATAGTGGCTATATCATTTTGCAATCCCACCAACAATGTATGAGGGTTCCCTTTTCTCTGCATCCTGGCCAACACTTATTTGATTTATTGATGATAGCCATTCTGACAGGTGTGAGGTGATATCTCTTTTTTTTTTTTTTTTTTAAGATGAGGCAATCCTTGGTTGACCTCACAGATTGCAAGGACCTTGTCAGTTTACAATCCCTAATTTTTTTATTTTTTATTTTTTACACCTACAGCACCTGGTCTTCCTAAGTGGTCTCCCATCCAAGTACTAACCAGATCCGACCCTGCTTAGCTTCTGAGATCAGATGGGATTGGGCTTGTTCAGGGTGGCATGGCTGTAAACTCATTGTGGTTTTAATTTGCATTTCTCTGATGGTTAGGGACCTTGAGCATCTTTACATGTCTATTAGCTAGCCATCTGTATTTCCTCTTTGGAGAAGTATCTGTTCAGGTCTTATGCCCATTTTTTAATTGGATTGTTTGTTTTTTTGTTGTTGAGTTGTGTAAGTTCTTTATATATTTTGGATATTAACCCCTTATCATTAGCGAGTATCTTCTCCCAAACACTCGGTTGTCTTTTTGTTTTGTTGATGGTTTCCTTTGCTGTACAAAAACTTTTTAGTTTGATGTAGTCTCGTTTATTTTTTCTTTTGTTTCCCTTGCCTGAGGAGATATATCTGAAAAGAAATTCCCGTTAGTAATATCAGAGAGAATACTGAACTATACACCTTTTTACTGTTTGATTTTTTTAAAACCATGGTTATGTATTACCTATTTTGAAAATTTGAAGTAGTTTATTATAAGAAAAAGCAAGGAATAATTGAAAATGTTCATTTTATTCTGTTTAAGAAAATGGGAATGTACACATTTAAGACTTGCTTCAGTGGTAATTCAAGTCAGGTTTGAGGTCTAAAGAGCTGCCTCTCTTATTTAGAACACTGATTGACAAATGAGCTGCTTCTGCTGCTGTTCTACTTAACTAGAGGCTTTGCTGTGGTTTGCTTTCCACTCATCTCTGAAAATAACAACTTTCCAGTGTTAGGAGAATTACATAAGAGAATAGATGTTCAATTACTTGAAAACTATAAAGTGGACTTTGCTTTGCAGTTTGAAAAAGTGATAGCTATATCTGCCTGTCTGGAGCTATGACATCTGAGTTTTAATACACAGTGAAATGGGAGATGCTTCCATGGCTGTTATGGAGTACTGGCCAAGGAGGGCAATACTGAGAACTTTGATAGAGTTTGAAACTCATGAGTGGAAGGAAGGTTTGAGATACTAGATTTTTTATGTTCTAATGCTTAACCAAGCATGTTAGGTTGAATTAGGTTGAATGCTGCAGCCGAGTTGACCAGCAGGGCTACGCGTGTGTACCTTATTCCCTCCTTTCCTCTAGTATATATGGTATTGTTTTCTTTCTCCCCTTGTTATCTTAATCAAATGTTATGTGTAGTATTCTTTAAAATTTCTGTGCAAGTTAAACTGATAATCGGAAAGGAAAGGCTTTTGTTGAGTGTGGAAGGCAGCAGAGTATTATTGCTCCTTGCAGGTTTCCAGTCTCTCTTAGAGGAGGTTATAGACAGGTTTGGGAACACTGTGGTCTTTGACTTTCCTTTTGAGACTCTCTAATAGCTCCAGCCAGAGCCACCACTTTGAGGGGGCTACATGGACTGACATTCCTGACTCCTCTCCTTTCTCCAGGGGACCCAGACCACTTAATGCTATCTTTCTGGAAATGAAAGAAAGAGCAAATAAAGGAATCAGGCAAAATGAGATTAAGATTTTTCTAGTAGGTGTTCAGTTTGAGGAGGTACGTAACCATACCCTGTTGAGGCTGATTGCTTAAAAACCACAGTTCATTCATTCATTCAATTGGGAATTGTTTTTTCTCCTCCTTTTTTATTATCAGAGTCAAACCTTTATATTGATTTCCTTTTTCTCCTTTAATTCTATTTTTTGTTACTTTTATCCTTTCCATCTCTTCCCCAGCTTAAAATGAGACAATAGCATTCTTTCAGAAATGCTTATTCGAAAGGAGACCCTGAATTAAAAGAAATTGCTTCGTGTGTGTGTGTGCGTGTGTGTGAAGTTAATTTTTTTAGAGGATAAGGATAATGTCATCTTAGATTGTTAAAATTATTCCCATCCTTTTGGGAATGTAAGAAAAACTTTTTAAAGCTAAACTTCCAGCAAAGATTCTATATTTTCAAAAACATTGAAAATAACTGGCATAATTTTCTACTGCTCAAGTTTTTAAGAGACAGCATTTCTAAATCTTCAGAGAAAATGTATCTAATTGTAAAATTCTTTTTAGTTAGGGAATGAATGTAGGTATTAAAACTTCTGTAATTTTTAAAACATTTTCTGTCTCAATAAAAAGCAGTGTGTTTAGTAGTATATACTAGAATAAGCACAATGGATTAGTAATCAGATTTTGGCCCAGTGTTTCTGTTATCACCATCGAACTCTTTCTGCAATGTTTCCCAACTGAAAATGAAGGGATTGGTTGTGTGAGCTTCCAAGGTTTATAAAAATTTAGTCATTCCAGGTTTTATTGGCATTTCTCTAAAAGCCAGCAAAATAAAAGATTAAAAGAACTTTGCTTATAAGATTATTCACATAAAAATATAATTCATTTCAATATAAAGTAAGCTAGACTTGGATTCTAAATGGGTTTAGTCAGTGGATGACTAAAACAACCTTTTTATAAGACGGTCTCATGCGAAAATCAGTTTCAAAATACATTCTCTGACAACTTTAACTAAAAATCCAGGATCTCATTTTGAGATTAATAATTGTAAGAAATCTATCATTAGCTTGTATCTTATTGCTGTTCAGATATTTTAAAAAAGTAACTCATTATTTAGGATTTGGCTTTTTTTGTTGTTATGGCTTGCATTGAAATACTCTTGCTTAAGTCATTCTACCGTGACTAAGTTCCTTTTCCTGAGAATAAAGGATTGAGCTCATACCTTTGCATAATGATCTAGAGTATTTTAAGCATGTTCGAACCTGGCTGACTCGATTAATATAGCACGTTAGAACATTTTTTAAGTTCCATGCCACAAATTGTGCTTTAAATGAACATGGGCATGTATAAAATTAATACTTAAGCCTCGAAAAGCACAGACATTGAAATGCCCGTTGCCCTGGGTGACATTTTCAGGGAGGCTCTTGCTTGTCTCTCCTTTAAGCAGTGCCAAGAGCAGAGTCAGAAGAGGGTTTGCTCCTTTGGCACTCTGCTACCTTCTGCTTTCAGCAAGGAAAAAGGCTGCTGTTTTACTTCTTAAACTCCTACCGTATGGAAAGTTTCTATAAATAAACCTTGGATTTATGATTGGATTTCTAAATTTGTAACCTTAACGATCCATGACTAAAAGCCAAGATAAATACCTACTTAAACATACATATTGCATACAGAGCTGTGGTATCATTTCAGTGAGAAAGGTCACCAATATAATACCTAAATTATCAATTCAGTAAATTTCTCCTGCCTGAATTGCAATGGGTGAGAACCTTGGTGTCAAGCAAAACCTAGTCAGCTGGTAGTTTTTAGTGAATCTACTTTGATTTTTGGGGGGCATTAATTGTTGTAATTATATAGCAGACATATTCATGAAAATGTAAAATTGCATTAGATTTTGATAAACCGAATTGTTTAAATGTACTAAAGGAGCCGACTTTTTAGAAGAATCCTATCGTTATTTTGTAAATTTGAGCCAGCTGTTATGTGCCAGGTGCTGTGCTAGGTTTTGGGGGATATCAAGTTGTATAAAAGATTTTTCCTGTTCAGACAAGTAGAGAAAGAAAAAGGAAACCTGAGGACAATAAAATATTTTACCACTCTAATGGAGAAATGGACAAATGCCATGTGAATGTGGTGGAGAAGCACTGAGTAGATTAACTCTGGGGAATTGGAAAAGGCTTTAGAAAGACGTTTCAGTTGGATCTTAAATAATAATGAGAATTACTTAAAACAGTGACTGTACTTTATTGAGTGCTTACGGCATACAAGGATTAATGTTACCCACCAGGGAAAAGGGGAAGAACATTCCAGGCAGTAATAGAAACGCTGGGACTATCAAAGATTGTATGTCCTAGAAGTAAGGAGTTTGGTATGGCTAATCGGGAGAGGGAGGGAGACCGGTGGCCAGGACAAAGGCTAGTCAAAGTGGATGGGATGAGACTGTAAAGGGCCTCAGTCCCCCATGTCCCTGCCACAACATGTTTTTGTTCTTGTTTCCTTGCCTGAAGAGCCTTTCTCCTTGTTTTGCTTGTGTAACCTATTTTTAAAGGTTCAGGTTTAGGGCACCTCTTATGTGAAGCTTTCCTCTCCTTTTCCCAAAGGTTAGTGATTTTTTTAACTGAATGATTGCATAAAAAAAGTGTACCTCATAATATAGGGCATTCCATTTCTTGAACCATTTCTTGTAGTTTAGTCTGATCTCCCCAACTAGTTTTTCAACTCCTCAAGGGCAGAAAATGAATCCTCTTTAGCACCAGGTATTGTGGGGACTCAAGAAATGCATGAGTGGATGAACACGGAACACATACCAAATTGAGACAGTCCAGCTACAATGTTTGAGATTGTCTACATTTATTTAACACCAGCAAGAACAATTTTCAGAGATATAGGTCAGTTGTCATTTGAATGTAAAATGAGTTAATAAGAGTATCTCATAGGATTATTGTGAGGATTAAATTAATTAGCACATTTAAGCATTTAGAACAGTGCCTAGCATATAGCAAGTGTTACCTATTATTTAACTCTACCTTTCTGGGCCTTTTTGCCAGTCACAGAGCTCACCTACTGTGGTGGGCATGAGAGGATAGAAAGATAAGAAATAAGAAATAGCTTCTTATTTGGAAACCAAATACCCTTTAGGAACTGGAAGAACTGCTTCTATTGCATGAACTTTTATTTTTCTGTTTGTGTTTTAGTGATCGAAGGGTATGGTTGGCATGGAATTGAATTTCATCTGTCTGAGGGAATTGTAAACAAGGTAGGTCCCAGGTTTATTCACTCTTTCGTGCCTAAGGTATTTGTTAGTATTTTTAGTTCTACTGAACTAGAATAGATCAGATTTGATTATTGTTTAAGGAAATACTCTTCATGGCCCCATGGTTTATCTAATATTGTGAACTACGTCTAGTATCTTGTTGGAATATATTAAATACCAAAGATATGGCACAACCAATTTTAAATTTTGGTGGTCATAGAACAGAACCAGCATGCCGTGTCTCCAGCAAGTGGTAAATCCTGCCATGTCCAGCGCGGCTCTGGAGAATGTACCTGAGTGGGGACAGTGGGAGATGAAGAAAAGGAAGAAGACAGAAAGCTGGGATCAGGAGATCCACTGTCCACTGATGGTGGAGCAGTGGTGTAGTTTTATTTTTGCAAGCTGCTTTCATACAAGAGCATAGATTGCTGGCAAAGATAAGATTATCTTCACCCAACCCACACCCTGCTATGATCTTTTGCCATTCCCTCTGCTCACCCTGCCTCGGAGCAGCACCGCATTGTTCCCCCATCAGTTCGTACTTTTCCATTCTTAGGAGGGTTCCTTGAGGCAAGACAACCTTTGGTTGACCTCACAGATTGCAAGGACCTTGTCAGCTTACAGTCCGCTCTCCACACCAGGACTTCACACGCGCACATAGACACACCAGGATCCAGTCCTGAGAGGGTGGAGGTTCTTCCGTTGGAGCCATTATGTAAAGCAACTTGGGATAGTAGGAAGTGACAGGCTAGCTAATTCTTCTGGTCACTTGAAAAGTCAATAGCTTCTGTGAATGGTAAGCAACAAAGGACTTGTCTTGGCAGTAGCCAGGCCAGCACTGACAACTATAAATCTTATTACTGATGACAGAGTCTGTCCATCTGTAACCACAAGAGTTGAATTTGACACAACATGCTGTGTTCCTATCTTAAGCTCTGGAGCCTGAACAAAAGTACACCAGATATGGCTTTGGCTCATATATCTATCTTGAGTCAGATGCCCACAGAAAGAGCTGTATAGATGGTAGCTTCACAAACCTATTTCTGTCAGGACATTTCCTGTGAAAGTGAGGGCTAATGCGAGCACATGGAGCTCTAGTCTTCCATGATCTTAGGTGCGTGGAGACTCCATTGCTTGGTGGTGCAGGAAACTTAGATCACTTGGAGAGTTGAACTTGATAGCCAAGAAAACAATGACAGCCCCCAATCAGGAATTCTTTGAACTTGTGTATGGGGTTCTATGGGTTGATGACAATCTTTGGACTCTTGCTGCATCTGCACTTAGAATAGAATAGGCTTTTGGGATTGGTTTTCGCTGTCACAGAGAACAGGAACTGTTAATACAGTGCTTCAAGGAAAAACAATCGAGCCACTTCCTATAGCAGAAGGAGCATGGTCCTTGGAATTGACAAAGCTTAACGTTTAACTTCTGCAAGTGAATCCCTTCATTACCATCTGGTGGCCTGGGTTTTTAGGGTCTGATCTGGGTGGTAGTCAGGAAATTATCTTCTATTTTGCTGTTTTATATTGGAGGTAGTAACAGGAACTATTTCATGGAAATACTGTATGAATTAACAGAAAGGATAGAAAGGACCTAACATTTATTGAATGCCTACTAAGGGTTAGGCATGGTAAATTTTCACAATATATTCTTTTATTGAAATATATAAAGTTCATTGATGCTGCAAATTTTCGGGTGTAGGTAGATAATATAGCAAATATCACTATCTCGAACTATTTTGACTTATTATAGTCATTTAGAGAAAATAGAATTATATACCGATACAATATTTCTTTTGTGTCTGCTGGAACATTCTTTTAATGGAGAAAGAAAATACCTACATGAGTTAGAATTTTTTGGTTTTGTTTTTATAACTGGGCTTGTTACTGATTTAGCCAAAGGCAGAGAGGAGAGTAGCAGGTCTGAAATTAGAGACAACTGCGCTGTTTTGGGAAGTTGAGACTCTTGACCCAGGGTTTGTTGAAGTTGGTGTAGGGGAGGTCAGAGTAGGTTAGTATTTTCGTGGCTCAAAGCAAATGTGAATTGTTGTTGTTTATAGGTACAGTTTTGCTTGATCTCTGTAGTTACAAATGGCGTAAATAAAATACAGTGCCGCTGTTCTGGGAAACTTCTACAAAAGTCCCTGAACCAATGCAAATTAATTTTCTCCAAAAATACCAAAAAATCCCCCATTTGGATGTTTTGACTGGCTGATGGAATTGACTGTTGTTATCATGCTCGTAAAGAAATTACCTTACATTCTTTTAAAGTAGGAAATTAAGTTGAAATGCTGCTCCTCATTTTACATTTAACTATTTCTACTCTTACGATAATAAGCTTTTGCGGTTTCAGCAAGGTTTACAGAGAGGTTACCCAGAGACGCAATACTGTCCTTTATTGTGCTGAGATGGAAACGTTAATGTTTTTTAATCTATGAAAATTTTATTTTTTTTCCGTCAAGTGAATTACTGTACTTTTCCTCTCGGCTGCGTCCTTTCCTTAGTCAGAGAAATCCTAATAATGTAATTTTCCCATCCTGCTTCAGTGAATGAATAATTGCAGGCATACCTTGTTTTATTGTGCTTCGCATTATTGCACTTCACAGATGTTGTGTGTTTTACAAATTGAAGGCAGGGCCCTCCACCAGCAAAAAGATTATGACTCGCTTTGTTGCAATACTTGCTTGATTGTGGCGGTCCTGAATCCAGCCTGCAGTATCTCTGAGGGATGCCTGCGCCACTTTAAAACAACCCAGCTTTACTGAGGTATAATTAATGTACTGAAAAATCACCTGTTTGAAGTGTACAATTCATTGATATTTTAGTAAATTTGTGGAGTTGTGCAACCATTACTACACTCCAGTGTTAAATATCCAGCACCCCAGAGGATCCCTTGTAAACACTTTTTAACTTTCTTTTAAGTCATCCACAAATCGTGTTAAGTTCTGCATCAAATTTAATCTTCTTCCTACAAAATTTCCTACCCTCTTTTTTATCTATTAGTTTATCTCCCCTTCCCTCCTTTTATATATATTAGTTTCTTATTGCAAGTCAAACATATCACTCTTGTCATTTTTATTCCATTCTTTGCCATGTTATAAAATGTGTAACCTTTCTTGAGAAGAAGGGCTTTAACTTTTATTCAGTTATTTATTTATTTATTTTTTCTGGGAAGACTTTGTAATGCCTTTGGCCTCTCAATAAAAGCTACTTGCATTATTCTTGGTTTCCTGTTTAATTCGTTATTATTTTTAAAGGAAATCATAAATCTGGTTATTTACCTTTGTACAGATTAAAAATTTGTTAATTTGGAGAATTCTGTTCTGTATATAAGTGTTCACATGCTTAGTGAATAAAGTAAATGAATATTCTAGTACACCTGTGCTTTTTAAAGTTTTATTGGTTATCTATTTCAGCATAAATTATTCTAAAACTCAGCAGCTTAAAAAAACAGTAAACATTATCTTGCACAGTTTTTGTGGCTCAAGAATCTGGGAGCATCTTAAGTGAGTGATTCCAGCTCATGAAGTTACATTCATAATGTCTGCTGGGGCTGTGGTCATCTGAAGGCTTGACTGGGGCTGGAGGACTCACTTCCAAAATGGCTTACTGACATGGCTGTTGGCAGAAGGCCTCAGTTCCTTACCGGATGGACTTCTCCAGAGGACTGGTCGAGTGTTATTAGAACATGGCAGCTGGTGTCCTTCTCGAGCCACTGAGCTGAGAGAGTAAGGAGGAAGCTGCAACACTTTTTGTGACCTCATCTCAGAAGTCACATATTGTCACCTCTGCTACATTCTGTTTGTTAGAAAAGAGTCACCAAGTACAGCCCACACTCAAGGGCAAGGGAATTAGTTTCCACCTTTTGAATGGAGGAGTATTAAAGAATTTTGGGGTATAGTTTTAAACTACTACACTTGGTATTTGAATGACTTTGTTTCTGTCCATGAGGGTCCTATAGCTGCTGGCTTTGCCCTTAGTTTCCCATAGCATTTCTTCTGTTTTGTTTTATTGTTCATGTTATCTAGGTTGTGTCTTTCTTTTTGCTAATGGAAGCTTTAACATTTTAGTTAAAATGACCAAATAGGTTATAAATAGAACATATTCTCTAAAAGTTGGATGAACCATCTCCCCAAGTTCACAATAAGCCAGTAAGATGACGAGAGTTTATGGTGTAGTTTATTGGTGGGTTTTAGAATTGGAGAAGTCCTTTTCTGGTACCAGAGACTTCTGTATTTCCCTTCTCAGACAGGTTGTGAAAGAGTAGTCTATACTCGGTGTTGTCACTTCGGCATCTCTTTTAACCTACTGTAGTTGTTCACTGCACATGGGTACTAGCTGGGGTGTGGGGAACATGTGGGGGGCTGAAATTCAGCCTGAGCCCTGCTTATCAAGCTGTGTGCTCACCTAAAGAAAGCACCTCTTTTGAATTTGTGTGTAGGTGCTCTGTGGTCTTAACTGAAGACACCAGTCACTATTTCTTTCATATTTCCAAATCAGCGAACACTTTTTTAATATTAATTGGTTCATCAGATGTTTATTGAGCATCTCTGTGTGCCAGTCACTATGCTAGGACCCTTCTGAAGCAGTTGACATTGTTAAGGATTTTATTTTTCTTGAAACTTTCGTCAGAAGATTGTATTCTTTCCTTTCTTCCCCCTTCCTTTTTGGCTATTGCTTCTTGTTCTCTGCTTAGCTGTTCATTGTGGATATTCCCCATTAGTCTAATCTTAGTCTTAGCCTTTAGCTCTTATCTCTCTCAGCACTCTTTGAGGATCTCTGCATAAAAACCTCTGGTTTTAGCCACTGCTTGTTTGCTATTGATTTATAAGTAATTTTTTCACCCCAGATATCTAATAATCTCTAGACCTAGCAATCCGGCTGCCTTCCAAACATCTCCATTTGGGTGTCCTATAGGTAATTTTAACCTGTCCAAACCTATCTACCTCTCCCTACCCTGCCTCCTCCTATATCTGACGAGTGCAGCATTAATCACTTCTTCAT